CTAATTTATGATGAATGAGGTAAGAATATATAATGGAGAAAAGACAGCCTCTTCAATAAGTGGTTCTGAGAAAACTGGACAGCTACATGTAAAAGAATGAAATTAGAACACTACCTAACACCATATACAAAAATAAACTGAAAATGGATTAAAGACCTAAATGTAAGACTGGACACTATAAAACTCTTAGAGGAAAACATAGGAAAACCACTCTTTGATATAAACCACAGCAAGATCTTTTCTGACCCATCTCCTAGAGTAATGAAAATAAAAACAAAAATAAACAAACGGGACCTAATTAAACTTAAAACCTTTTGCACACCACAAGTAAACCACAAACAAGATGAAAAGACAACCCTCAGAATGGGAGAAAATATTTGCAAATGAAGCAACAAAGGATTAATCTCCAAAATACACAAACAGCTCATGCAGCTCAATATCAAAAAAAAAACAACCCAATTAAAAAATGGGCGGAAGACCAAAAGAGACACTTCACCAAAGAAGACACACGGATGGCCAAGAGGCACATGAAAAGATGCTCACCATCACTAATTATTGGAGAAATGCAAATCAAAACTACAATGAGGTATCACCTCATACAGGTCAGAATGTCCATCCTCAAAAAATCTACAAACGATAAATGCTGGAGAGGGTGTGGAGAAAAGGGAACCCTCTTGCACTGTTGGTGGGAATGTAAATTGATACAGCCACTACGGAGAACAGTATGGAGGTTCCTTAAAAAACTAAAAATAGAACTACCATATGACCCAGCAATCCCACTACTGGGAACATACCCAGAGAAAACCATAATTCAAAAAGACACATGCACCCCAATGTTCACTGCAGCACTACTCACAATAGCCAGGACATGGAAACAACCTAAATGTCCAACAATAGATGAATGGATAAAGAAGATGTGGTACATATATACAATGGAATATTATTCAGCCATAAAAAGGAATGAAATTGGGTCACTTGTAGAGATGTGGAGGACCTAGAGACTGTCATACAGAGTGAAGTAAGCCAGAAAGAGAACAACAAATATCATATATTAACGCATGTATGTGGAATCTAGAAAAATGGTACAGATGAACCTATTTGTAGGGCAGGAATAGAGAGGTAGACGTAGAAAACGGACATGTGGACACAGCGGGGGAATGGGAGGAGGGGATGTATTGGGAGACTAGGTTTGACATAACTACACTACCACGTGTAAAACAGATAGCTAGTGGGAACCTGCTGTGTAGCACAGGGAGCTCAGCTCGGTGCTCTGTGATGTCCTAGATGGGTGGGATGGGTTGTGGGGGTGGGGTGGGAGGGATGTCCAAGAGGGAGGGGATATGTGTATATCTATAGCTGATTCACTTCGTTGTACAGCAGAAACTAACACAACACTGTAAAGCAATTTTACTCCAATAAAAACAAAACAAAATTACCTCTAATGACCTACATGCTTCAGAAAGTGGAACCTGTGCTTGCCCTTTTCAGATGACAGCAGATGAGGACATGGTCCATTTGGCTGACGGGTGCTCCCTCAGCTGAGTTCTTTGAGAATCAGTCATGAACAGAAACCATACTGAATCTGTCATAACCCACAAATAGGAATGATATAAATACATGTAAAAAAAAGGCTTTTATTAAAAAAAAACAGGGATTAATGGGTGAAAAGAGAATTTATCCATTGAGAAATGTGTAAATCATACTTCCTGTCAATTAGAGTCCTGCAGGAGCCTAAAGTTGACAGCATCTTGCAGCCAGGGATGAAGCAGCAATTACCCATGTTTGCAGAGCATTTTGGTGGATTCTAACCAACCTAATGTACTGTAGAAAACTGACCCCAAAAAGCTGGTCCAAGTAAGTGTCCTGGTTGGAAAAATCAGATGTGAACCCAAGTGTGGGCTACATGGGTGTGAAATTACTGCTCTGAGGAATTTTTTAAAATTTTAAACAGAAACCTCTTTACCCAGAGTTTACAACGCCAACTGCCAAAACTAAAAGAAAATTCTAACCAAATTGGTTAAAAAGAAAGGAAAAGAAATCCTTCTTTTTGGGCAAAGAAGTTAAGGATTCCTTTTCTCTAAGTTTCACATTCATCTTTTTTCAAAAATTTCTTCCCATAAAATGTCACAGCATAGTAAGCACTCGTACCATAAAATCTCAAGGATAATTTCTAAGCAGTTTTGTTTTCACTCACATTCCTGAAATGAATACAGAAATTGAAACGTCCGCCCCTCGCCTGTGAATTTCAGACCCTAAACACATACCTTAGCAGACTTTCAGAGACTAACACATTCTTAACCAAAGACCATTTGGATTACCTTTCCCTCTTCTGTTCATACCATTCTCCATAGCAGGAAAATGTATCATGTATCATATCATTTGCCCCAAACCAATTTTTCCGAGTTTCATGGTCATCATCTCCCTCTTCCTGGAACAGAAAGTCTTGCAAACTTTGCCAACAATAATTCAGACTTTACTGCTGGTCACTTCCTAGGCAAGGCTGTCTTGACAACCAATACCTGGCTTCCTGACGTGCCAGTCTATGTAATGAGATGTTGCTGCCCTGTCGGGTGTATAAATGTTTGAGTGGGATGCAAGGGAGAAAGGTTTACACGCAGCCTCAATTACCTACCCCTGACTAGTCAGGCAAGACAGAAGTAATTGGGATAATGGTTTCTGTTGGGGGTGGGGACAAAATTCAGGAAGCCAGGAACTTAAATAGGACACTGGCCACATGTTAAATTATGTCTCTCTGAGGCACCAGGATGGGGGAAGGGTTAGGGAGAAGTAAGCCAACACCAAATTAGGGTGGCTGGCTTTGCCCTTCATCAGCCCAGTGCTGGCTCACTTCCTGGACCATTCAATCTATCTTCATTTTTCTGGCAGTTGACATTTGCCTGCAACAAGGCATTCCTAAAACGATATGTTCCAAGAATGTCTTCTATTTACATTATAATATTCAACACAGCCCTTATTTCTTAATTCATATAAGTAAAGACATCTTAAACTTCTCATTTTAGTATACAGCAATAGTCTGTGCTCTAATCACATACAGTAACTCTCGGGTTCTTTCTGCCTGGTTAATTTCAGTACAATGTAGTCCTTCTCAGAATAAATAGTTTTATTTCTAAAAGAAAGCATAATAGGGAAGAGTAGGCAGTGAGCCTATGACTTCAGTAAGGAGTCGACTGTCAAATTTCAAATAATCATCTAAAGATTAAATGTCCCTTTTGAAAGGATCAGTAATAATTAGATGGTGACTACTTACCCATCCAACTGGGTTACTTTCCTTAGTAACATTCTTATCTTGGTTTTGGAAATTGTAGAGTGTCCAAAGAATGAACTCATAATGGAAAAATTTTGGGACTTCCCTGGTGGTGCAGTGGTTAAGAACCCACCTGCCAATGCAGGGGACACGGGTTCGAGCCCTGGTCCGGGAAGATCCCACATGCTGCGGAGCAACTAAGCCCGTGCACCACAACTACTGAGCCTGCGCTCTAGAGCCTGCGAGCCACAACTACTGAGCCCACATGCCACAACTACTGAGCCTGTGCTCCAGAGTTTGCGAGCCACAACTCCTGAAGCCCGGGCGCCTAGAGCCTGTGCTCTGCAACAAGAGAGGCCACCGCAATGAGAAGCCCTCACACTGCAACAAAGAGTAGCCCTCCACTTGCCGCAACTAGAGAAAGCCCGTGCACAGCAACAAAGACCCAACGCAGCCAAAAATAAAATTAATTAATTAATTTCAAAAGGTTTAATATCAACTTCTGCTTCAATTTGGGGAAATTTTTTCTACCAAAATTAAATAAACATATCTATTTGTATAATTACTTGGTATTGTTGATGTTGAAAAATTTAATGAAATTAGGATTTTTTTTTTACTTGAAGAGAAACATCATCATGATATTCCTCCCCTAACTCATCTCCTTCACATTCCATATTCATTGTTTCCTGAATCAAACACAATGTGTACATCATACATTAATCACACACCTGGGAGATTCAGCCACCACTTTTTTGACGTGTGTGTGTGTGTGTGTGTGTTAGAAGCTTATTTACTCCATCAGCCATGTCCTTATTGATTCCTTAACGCACTCAACCTTTCACCTCTGTAGACATACACATGTATTTTTGCCATGTAGACAAAATCTGGGCTTTATCTATTTGATTTGCTTGGGCTGAAGGTTCACTGGCCACAGGCTGGGTTCTGTTGCTCAGTCTTTCCACCAACTAAAGCTATTGGGAAAGCCATTCATACCGGCTCTGTGTTTGCAGAGGGGAACAAGATACTATAATTTGAGTTTAACAGAGCATGGCCAGAACGTATGTACATTACCCAGAGTGCAGGAAGGGCACTTGGCCAGGAGAAGCAGATGCATAGAGACAGGGGGTTCTTTCTACTTGCCTGGGCACTTGTCTGGGCCTCCCCTTCCTCCCTTTGGCCATAGCTAGCTCTTCCCTGGCGGACCCTGCCTGCCTTACTCCAGCACAACCAGTTAAGAAGCATGAAAGACAGCTTCAAGACGGCAGTGTAGGAAAATCCTGCACTCACCTCCTCGCCTGACACAACAAATCTACAACTACGTGCAAAATAATTTCCTTGGAAAGGAACCTGAAAACTAGATGAACTGAACCCATAACAAAGGTAGAGGACAGCGTGGGGATGGGCAGGAGAGGCAGAGAGAGGGTCTCACTAAGGAAAAGCCCACACCCCACCCATGGCAATCCACAATTGGGAGGGATCACAAATGTACGAATTTTTTCCCTGAGGAGACAGGGATTTGACCTTCACATCAGGCACCCCACCTCCCGGATCCTCCACATGAGAGACAAAGCCTTCAAAACACCTGGCTTTGAAAACCAGCAGGAGGACGATCAGGCTGCAGGCAACAGAAAATCCACTCCTGAAGGGTCCACACGCAGACACACTCAACCTAAAAACCAGCACAAAACACCAGACTGAAAAGCACACAGACTGTAAGTGAAGGGGACCCACTTACTACTCTTGAAGCATCCGCCAGAGAGGTCGCAACCAGTTGGGATGCTCCCCAGGGACTGAGTCATTGCTGGATTTATTTCTGTGATCTCAGGCTACCTTGCTAGCACCAGTGCTATGAGTGCCATTTTGAAATTCTCCCTCTAATCTGTCAGCTCCTGTGGGTGTGCCCTACTGAGAGCCCTGCCCACTCCTGCACCTCAGCCTCAAGGCCAGCTAAGCACCAACCCCACCCCACCCCCAGGGTGTACAGTGGTTGAGGGCAGTCTTCACAGCCATCAAAGAAATAGCCCCACCAACTAGTGCCCTGCAGGAGCAGCTGTGGTCCTGCCACAACGGGAAAGAACGTGCAGCCCAGGTAGGGGACGCCTTCACAAAAACGTGGAGGTTAAACAACATGCTCTTGAACAACCCACGGGTCATCACAGGAGAAATCATAAATACCTAGAGACAAATAGAAACAGAAATACAACATACCAAAATCTATGGGAGGCAGCAAAACTGGTTCTAAGAGGGAAGTTCATAGCATTACAGGCCTACCTCAAGAAACAAGAAAAATCCCAAATAAACAATCTAATTTATACCTAAAGGAATTACAAAGAAAGAATGAATACTAAAATTAGTAGAAGGAAGGAAATAATAAAGATCAGAGAAGAAATAAATGAAATAGAAACTAAAAAAACAACAGAAAAATCAAAAAAATAACAGCTGTTCTTTGACTATATAAACAAAATAGACAAACCCTTAGCTAGAGTAAGAAAAAGAAAGGACTCAAATAACTTCAGAAATGAATGAGAAGTTTCAACTGATACCACAGAAATATAAAGAATCATAAAAGACTACTTTGAACAATTATACACTAACAAATTAGACAACGTAGAAGAAATGGATAAATTCCTAGAAATATACAATGTTCCGAGACTGAATTATAAAGAAATAGAAAATCTAAATAAACAAATAACTAGGAAGGAGATTGAATCAGTAATCTCAAACATCTCCCAACAAACTAAATCCCAGGATAAGACGGCTTCACGTGTGAATACTACCAAACATTTAAAGAAAGGTTAACACTCATGCTTCTCAAACTCTTCAAAAAACTGAAGAGGACAAAAGTCTTCCAAACACATTTTATGAGGCCAGCATCACACTGATACCAAAACTAGACAAGGATGCCACAAAAAAAAAGAAAATTAAGGCCAATATCCTTGATGAACATAGATGCCAAATTCTTCAACAAAATATTAGCAAATTGGGACTTCCCTCGTGGTTCGGTGGGTAAGACTTTGTGCTCCCAATGCAGGGGGCCTGGGTTCGATTCCTGGATGGGGAACTAGATCCCACATGCATGCCACAACTAAGAAGCCCACACGCCGCAATGAAAAAAGATCCTGCACGCCACAACTAACCTGGCGCAACCAAAATAAATAAATAAATATTTTTAAAAAATAGCAAACTAATGCAACAATACATGCAAAAATACATTGAAAGAATCATATACCACAATCAGGACTTCCCTGGCGGCACAACAGTTAAGAATCCATCTGCCAATGCAGGGGACACAGGTTCTATACCTGGTCCGGGAAGATCCCACATGCCACGGAGCAACTAAGCCCGTGCGCCACAACTACTGAGTCTGCACTTTAGAGCCCACAAGCCACAACTACTGAGCCTTCGCACCACAACTACTGAAGCCCGTGTGCCCTAGAGCCCATGCTCCGCAACAAGAGAAGCCACCGCAATGAGAAGCCCGCACACCGCAATGAAGAGCAGCCTAGCCCCCACTCACTACAACTAGAGAAAGCCTGCAGGCAGCAACGAAGACCCAACTCAGCCAAAAAAATAAATAAAATTTTTTAAAAAATAAATAAATTTATTTAAAAAAAGAAAAAGAAACATATACCACAATCAAGTGATATTTATTCCAGAGATGCAAGGGTGGTTCAAACCCTGCAAATCAATCAGTGTGATACATCACAATAACAAAATGAAGGCTAAAAATCACATGATCATCTCAATAGATACAGAAAAGCATCTGACAAAATTCAACATCCATTTATGACCAAAAGAAACGAAAACAACCAAGTGTGCATGAAAGGCACGTGCCTCAACATAATAAAGGCCACATATGACCAGCCCAGAGCTAATGTCACTCTCAGTTGAAAAACTAAAAGCTTTTCCTCTAAGATCAGGAACAAGACAAAGATGACCACTCTTACTACTTTTATTCAACACAGTATTGGAAGTCATAGCCGCAGCAATTAGGCAAGAAAAAGAAATAAAAGGCATTCAAATTGGAAAGGAAGAAGTAAAACTGTTACTATTTGCAGATGACATGATACTATATACAGCAAACCCTAAAGACTCCACCAAAAAACCATTAGAACTAATAAATGAATTCAGTAAAGTCACAAGGGATCTTCCCACTATAGTAGTCACCTCTCTACCTGATTTGCACATTGGATTTTAGTAAAGTGGCTAATTTTTGCATAAGTTAACCAATGAGTAACAATCATTCATCCTTCTTCCCTTTTTTTTAACGAGGTTGAGCAAGAAAAGACTGCAGAATAAACATTAAGTTGTAAACATTTAAATACAAATTTATTTTTCACATCAGCTCACCTAGGGGGAGAGGTGGGGAATAGACACCTCATTTCCTCCATGGACATACCTTCTCATAGCTCTAATGTACAAGCGATTTCACATCAATCCATTTGCCCCACAACTCATAAGAATTACGACTCAGTTGCCTGAAGCAGCTTACTGTTTGTTGCAGGGAGCTCTGTGGGACTTGTGATTGAGTCCCCGTGACACCTTCCTGCTTTGACTCCTAATTTCCATACCCAACACATGTCCTGGGGCAGAAAGTCAGATTGAGATGGAACATGATTACCTCAAATAAACCAGTCAAATTGATGTGAGTGCCATGATGCATGCCAACAAAGAGATTAAATGGTCTTGGACACCTTGCACCCATGAGGCTTCATTGAGGTACACATCATACATCAACAGACAGGATTTGGCACTGAAAAAATGTAGCAGGGAAAGCTGTAAGTCTCCTACACACACAAACTGTGCACACTGATTTTCCAATGCATCTTTCACTTACCCCAGGTTCTGTCCTGAGTGGTTCTCATTGTAAATAACTTTGTGACAGGTCACTTGTCAAATGAGCTCACCACCTGTCCTACCACAAAGTGTGGCTGGGGAAATAAAATTAGCTATTTATATTTACCATTTCTTTTTAGTTATCATCAACACCATCAACTTATTATAACAGGTAATGATACTCTCAGCACTGATCATTTAAAGTGTTTTACATGAACCTTTGCATGTCTTGGTGATACCAACCGGTTTTAGGTGGACAAGGCTTTCTAGTTTTTGCTGGTTAGTTCACCTGTGATTACAAAATTCCACTAACATCTAGGAATGCCCTTATATATATATTTTTATAACTTTGCCCACTCTTCAGCACCTCCACACACCAATAACTTTATTAAGTTATATCTTCCCCAAATCTCTTAGCATATAGTAGATGTTCAATAGAGACTGCAAGAAGGAACGGGCAATCTTACGTGAGTGTCTCGTGTGCCTACTGCTGTGAAGGAAAATATTTAAGGAACCAGATGCCTCAAAGATGTTAAGAACCCCTAGAATTACCTGCACTTAAAAGAGAAAGGTGCCTCATGAGGGCACTGTTTAAAGCCCTCAGGGACAACTCCAGTACAGGGTCGACAAGACCAGCTCTGGAAACAGTGGGTCTCAGATCAGGTTTGGGAAACGTGTGATGCTGGCCTCCTCTGAGCAACAGTTCCCGCTCTGAGAAGTCCCACAGAAGGAGCCCTGCTCAACAGCCCTTAAACCTTCCCTTTTCCCCCTCCCTTCCTCCCCCCTCCTTTTTCCTTCCTTCTTTCCTTCCCTCCCTCCCACTCCCTTCTTTCCTCACTTTCTTTCTGTTTTCGGGGCCCCTCCCAAGACTAGCCAAGCGCACTCTTTATAGAAGGATTCTAGTCTCCCAGGATGACTTGTGCACAAAGAACAGAGCCTCCATCGTGTGGACGAAGACCTCGACTCTCTCAGAAAGATTCTCCTCCGTGAAACAGGAGAGTACTTACCCCCCAGGGGGACGAGGAGTCACCGAGTTAGTACATGTGTGACGCTTAGAGCAGCAGTACACACCGTCAATACTGCACAAATGGGAGCTATTGTTCTTATATTATCATTATTGTTATTAATTGCTGAGGTTAATCATCGAGCTAGGCCTGAGTGAACCTTCTTTGAAGTGTTAACTGGGGTATGCGTTCAGAACACCCTTCTTGGTGGCAAACATTTCTGAACCAGCAAATGAACTGGCTGCCCCAGGACTTGCTATTTTTAACATTTTTTAAATGACCTCGCTTACTGTTCCATGGTGGGTAGGCAGCTGTTTGCAATGACAGCCGTATATGTGGTCCACAGGTAAGCCAGGGCTGGGGAATCTGGCCTTTTGTAAAATGTTTTCAAGTAACTTGCTGCCACATTGCACTTGGCAGCCAGATCACAGCCAGTGGAAATGTGCTAAAAGAGATGGGCAGAGCGAGGCTCCCTAAAAACAGAAAAGTGACTCATGCTCATAAACTGTCATTGCCATGGCAACTGTTCAAACACACTGCCCAGTCTGGGCCTGGCGGCGGGCGGGCACCTCAATGAACTGTTCACTGGCCTGTTGTTGAGAGTGTCTGTTTCTCACTTGGGCTTCTTCGGTCCTTACTGGTGTGGCCAGGAGAGAAGTTGCTGCTGAAAAGAAAGGCCTCCTCAGCCGGGTGGGGAGAAGAATCCCCTTCCCGGATGGCTGCAAACCCTGAAACATGTGTGTCCAGCTGCACCCCAGCCACCATCAATGAGAGTGTGTCTGGACTAGGGTGGGGGAGTGGGCCAGTGCCTCGTTTTAAAATCATGAGATACTGAAACCAAGCAAATAGTTAAACAAAAGATTTCTGGCAAACATGCCCTCTTTTCATCACTGTGAAAGCATCATTTCATCAAGCTTGAGAATGTAGAAAAGGCAGTTTGGGAAACTCTTTATTAGCAAAGAGCCTTCGCTCATTAGATCCGCGTCCATTC